CTCTCTCTGTGTGTGTGTGTGTGTGTGTGTGTGTGTGTGTGTGTGTGCCTTTTGTGCGTTCGCACGTGGGGGCCATAAAAACACCACAGATAGCTTACATAGCTCACATAGGCTTCTTCTTCTTTTTTTTTTTTTTTTAAATATCAGATGAACAACAGTTCACAGGTGTACCATTCACCCCTTGAGTGGTACCCTACCCATAACACATACCCACATAGCATTCCAACAAGCCTGCATCATAGTCCACCACGGCCACATATGACTGCATCTACCACTCATAGTACCGCCCGCATATTACCACCCACCTACATAACAATACTCGGCCACATCGCACTCCACCTACCACTCAAAATGCTGTCCACATAGCATCACACCCACCACATCACATAGCACTGTGAGTATGAGACAGCACATGTAGCTTACATAGCTCACATAGTAGGTCGCATAGACATCCTTTCTTTCATCTCTGTTAAAGAGTAGACTTCTGTTTCCCCCTCGTCCCCCCCCACCCCCAACAAAAAAGGCGATGAGGCTTTGCGGTGTCACTCATCTCATTAGCTCAGGACTTTAGCTCAGGACTTGAACTCACGTCTGTTTATGGACAGTTCATGAGTGTATTGTTTCTTAGCCCTCATAGTACTGTCCACATAGCGCTGCCCCCACAACACATAGGACCAAGAGTAGCTGACATACTTCTCTATCCGACATGCTAGCATGCAGAGCGATGCACTCCACCCAGACCAGATAGCACCCCATAGAAGTACACATACCTCTCATAGTACTGTGCCCACATACCAGTACACCTACCCTGCATAGAACTCCTCAACAACAACGGAACAGCTAGCCCTCATAGCACTGCGCCATAATCACATAGCGCTGCACCTACCCTGCATAGAACTCCTCGACCACACAACAGAGCAGCTAGCCCTCATAGCACTGCGCCAAAATCGCATAGTGCTGCATCTACAGAACATTGCAGCCCAGATATCTCTCATAGTCGTACAAGAGAGACTTGCATGATTTCCAACAGATACTCTGGATCTATATTGTCTGCATTCTGCTCACTCTTCTTCTCTTCATCTCTGACTATAACCGGTGATCTGCCAGTAAAGCCGCTGCTGTGGCCTCGGTGGTTCCAACTCGTATTAATTAAAAATTATTATTATTATTATTATGTTATATATATTTATTTATTTTTATTTTTTTGTGACAGTGTGAAATGTATACCAAGTACTGACACACTCAACCAGAGACCTGGAACGGAACTGGTCCCAGCGGAGGGGCCCAGGATGCAACTGTGCTCTGAACAAACTGTGACCCATTGTTGTGCTGAAACTCGGGACGCATTGACCTTGCCTTAGGGCAGCATGAGAGGGTGCAAGGGCATGCGAATCGTCACTCGCGCGAATTTCTCGTTGATGCTAACTGTTGCTGCGCAGCGGCTTTCAGTAGCATTGTGCACTGGCAATGTGTCAGTAACTGGCTAGTCAGCATCCCATCAACCGGCCAGCGAGAGACTGGCCATTTAATGGCATGGGCCTGTAACCATGTCACTCTGATGTGTGGTTTGGCCGTTTGTGTTGATGATCCACCCTGTGCTGTCCCAGGTACAGAAATGTATGTCACACAGTTCGACCGTCAAAATGGAAAAGCCGGCAGACTGCGGTAGTTATTCAAACGGAACTTTTGTGCTTGGGGCGAGGGAAAACTGTCGAGTTAGTGTCACCTGACTACTACGGTGTTGTATGCTAGAATTCCGAATTCATTCTTACCTTTTATGGAGGATAGCCAGGGGAATCCTCATTCAAGGGTCACGGAATCCATCCCAATCCACCCTGATGTCATTAATTCACACCCATTCGTCCATCCATCCATCTGTTTAGCTAGAGACCATGGCTGTGCGATCGAACCTATTTCACGTCTTCCTAGGGACTCCATGCAAACTGTTGTTTCAAAGGTTAGCTTCGCAGAAAAGTGGTGTGACTTATGGGGGTTGCAATGGCAGTGGCGGCGTATGGATACTCTCGCTGGTCGTCGGCCCCTTCGGGGTCTCCTCAGACGTTTCGCCTGCTCTGCGTCCTCCCTCTCCTCCTCCCATTCTTGTGCCTGTCTCTCCGCCTCCTCCTTGAGCCTCACCCGCAGGAGCTCCCCCTGCTGTGGAGCTGCCACCTGCTTCTTCCCGCTTGGCGGCAAGGTCCTGAAGGGCCTGCTGACTTGGGAAAAGATTGGACCCATTGGATGAATCTGGTCTGGTTGGTTGCACGTCCAATTATTCAGCGCATGCTTGCCTTCTCTGCAGTAAAACCCTGAAGTTTGACATCTGCAAGCACGCATGTACGATTTGGTTACACCCCCCAACCGCCGCCTTCCTCCCACCTGCAAGCCTGTGAGATCATCAGGAGTTACTGGGGAGCAGGGTCACGTGCGCCCTCAAGGATGTAGCCATTATCATGACTTACAGCCTTTATTGAGGTTTATTCCTCTTTTAGCTGCAATGATGCCTTCCAAAGCCGCCTCCTCTCCACGTCATCTCTCTTCGTCCTGGCAGATCAGCCTCACCCCGTGTACCCCTCTGTGGTTCTCCTCCGGAGCCTCCCTTCCTATTTACAGCTGACTCAGCTGAGCCACTGAGGTTGCAGGTGGGTCAATGTCTGAAACTTGGTATGGTTGGTGCATCAGTTCAGAATCCTAGATGGACCAGGATTGGATCTGGTCTATCAGACTCTATCTGTGTTGCACATGGAGATTTCTGACCCGCAATTCCTGCTGGCAGCAGACAAGCTGGGATCCTTTCCTCTCTCCATATGCGCGACTTCAGGAACCGTCTGTGATGGATCTTGTCCTTCTGCTGGCTGGAATCTGTGTCTTCTCCACCCTGCTTCTGAGTTGTGCCAGTCTTTCCATCGTATGTGAGAGTCATTTATCTCTGCCACTTTGCCCCTTGCATTTTGCCTTCACTCTTCTCTGTTGCTCTTCGTCATCTGGCATGGACTGTCTCGTCTTGTGCCATTGACAAAGGATCTCCGCCTGAATCAAAGTCCTTGTCTCCGCCCATACCTTCTCTGTGACGGGGCGGAGGTAGAGCAGCGAGGCCGGGGAAGAGAGAGGGAGGGAGTGAGAGCACACACACACACTCACTCAACTCGACATGGACTCGACACGACTCGACGGACGCAGACACAAAGTGGCAAAGTCGCAAAGTCGCAAAGTCACAATCTTGGTTCCGTACACAACGTTGCAGCAAGTCACACTGAAGCACAACCACTGAGGCCGAAAACTGAGTCCCCGAACTCAGCTTGAGTCCGGTCTTAAGTACCGGACTCGAGTTGAGTCCGAGGGCAAAAGTGCAATTTGCCTCGGGGCTGAACTGAAAATCGAAGGTCTGAGCCTGGGCGCCAGAATGCTGGATGGCGCCAAGTACAAAATCCGAAAGTGGCAGAGGCGGAATTTGAGAACGGGCTCCGACTGCGGAGGACGCCAACAGTCAGGAACTGGAGATCAGAAACTCCAAAAAAAATAGAATAGCAGCCTGCCGGGTGGTACCCCGCGGACCAGGGATCGAGCCCTGGGGAGTCCGTAACATTCTCACTTTTTGAGAGTCCCTCGATGGTTTTACAGCACATTTCCTTCCAGACGGACCACAGTGTTACCTTTCTGATCATTCCAAACCACGTTTTCTCTGTCTTGTTGAATTGAGCTGGGATGTTAGTCCATAAGAGGAGTTGGATGGGGTGTTTTTTTCATTACTTCTTTTGTACATGGAGTAATCAATGCTGTCTCAGGGGGTCCTTCAGCTGAACAGAAGGAAGCATGTGTGTCGTTAGATATGGTATATTCTTATGACTTTCCGGCGGAACAAGAACCGGACTGACGGTCCCAAGAATGCACATGGAGCCAGCACCGTATTGTCCTGTTTCGTTTTTTTTCCCCTTTTCAAACAGAACCTGTCTCCTTGTGTCTTAGAAAAAAAAAAAAAGAATTCTATAAGCTGGTTTTCTGCAACGGTAATTCGTTTCTCATCGACACAAGTTACATATCTAGTATTATATACCAATCCCACTTCCACCTGCAATGTCACAGGGCAAAATAAAAAGTATCAAGATTCAAGAATGTAACCACTGTGACGACTCCGACGAGAGTTGAAGAAGGGTCAAGAATGTGAAAGTGGGGCTTAAGTGGGTGAAAAAAAGAACAAGAAATATGCAGACACGGCCAGACAGGAAGATTTGAGTGAATGTGGCTCTTCCTTACCTTCACAACTCTGTGAAGCTCGGCCACCTGGGAAGAGAAGATCCTCTGCTGCCTGCCATGCCATTATGGAGTCCAGAGCACCAGACAAGCATAATCACCGACCAACCGGAATTAGCGTTTAATGACACAAAACATGACTGCATATACACGTACTCAGTTTTGCAATTTCAGTGATATGATCTTCTCGGGTAGTGTACGGGTGGAGATGACAGACATCCATTCGACACCTGCATCTGCGAGAAGACAAATAGGCAAACGTACGAGAAGACAAGAAAGAATGCAAATCAACTCCAAAGGAGGAGATGAACACAACGGAATTAAATGGATTCATCCTCCTTCGCTGTAGTCAACGATTCAGATGAACAAACCCTCTTCGACACCTTGTCGCCTGAGCTGATAAGGATGCGCATTGCAGCAGTCTCATCTTGCAAAAACACAGTCGACCAAACACTTAAACCACCAGTTGAAAGGAGCCTAAGTCGACGAAGTGACTTTCCAAGGCTGGCGAGCCTGAGACTGCGCCTTTCCAATGTGGCCTTCCGTGTTCACTACTCGCCCAGGCCCAAACCAAAAGTTCTTACCCATATACCAGTAAGAGCGATTTTCTGCTTCGGGTGAGCTGGCGGTTTAAGCATACTCGCCACACTCAAGCACAGGCAAGCAGGTTAACCTAAAGCACACCTGAGCACACCCAGTCACACACTCGATAGACACTCTAGCACATTGTCATTTGCATAGTCAAGCACACACCAAACACAGAAGCACATATTAAACACGCACTCAAGCACACATTGCAGCACTCGCTCCATCAGAGCGATGATTCAACCACGTACTGGAGCAATGCACTCAATCCCAAAGAAACACACATTACAGCACACACTTAAGCATACAGTCAAGCACACACGTAACCACATTCATGAGCACACAGTTGAGCACAGGCCTTAGATACCAACTCTCTCTATTTTAGGCTTTTAGCAGTCCGTTTCAAATTAACTGAATTGCACGCCAGGCTGCTGCCCAATGTTCATAAGCTGCAACTAAGCAGATGAGACGGAATTCCATGGTGCTAAGTTTTGAGATGTTCCTGTGAAGCCTCAAGCATGAAACCATGCACAGCACATCAAAACCCATAACTGAAAATGAGATCAGACGATAACTTTCTCAACTAACCTGTGAGATTTGTGGTCTAAAGTCTGTCAAATACATCCAGGACGGACCAGCCATACTTGTGGTGAGATAGATCCAGGAAAGACCTAGTGTGAGCATGCCCTCTACTTCTCCAAAGCCCAACATTGATACGAATAGGTTACCGCTTTCTATCATTCTTCGCCCTTCTGATCTGTTTCTTGTCAGTTGCTGACCTCTCATTTGTGTCGTAGGGTTTTCCCATTGTTCTGACAAGGCAAGCTCACCTCAGTATGGTCTTTCGGAGATCCCAGAAGCCCTTCTGGCCAATCACCTTCACAACATCCATGGGCATGATTACGCAGCACTCCTTATTCTGTGCATCTCCGTCAACGCCATTGCCCATGACGTCATCTTCATCGTCATCCCAGGGGATCGCTGAGGGCAGCTGGCGACTGCGAGATGAGTTCTCTTCATCATCACTGCCGCTCCTTTCGTCTGCACTAATGTCTCTTTTCTTTTTCTTGTTCTTGTGCAGCGGATCCTCTTCCTCTCCATTCCCTTCTCTCTGGACCGCAGAGTATTTTACTTTGCCTTCCATTCTGTCCATGCTCCTGTCATCGACATCGGTTGTGGGCTCAGAACACCCTGCGTTGGTGGCTGAAATTCTCCCGGTAGGAACTACTCGTGTCGTTTTATCCTCGTCATCATCTTCCGTCAAAGGTAAGTAGTTATCTTCACTTGGAGAACAAACCATGTCTACTCTGTTTGGGGAAGAAGACATATGCCTGGGCAAGACGTTTGTGCGCTTTACCAAAGTGCAATCAGAATCTTGCATTCTCTCCACAGCTGGGTCAATGCCAACTGGGACAATACCTGGGGGGCGTACATCTCCTTCACACTGCTCATTTGCCAGACGCTGCCAAGCTCGCCCAACACCAGTGCCAACTGCGGCTTGTCTAGATGATGTCTGCTTGGAAGTGTCTCCAGACGCATGCACGGCCAGAGGTCCATCTCCTGCTGCCAGCTCATTTGACTGCCCCGCTACATTTGGTCGCTGCACCTGCTGCACATTTGAGACAACTCCACCTGCATATCCTGAAACACTTGTAGCAATTGTACCTACTGCCGAAGTGGCTGTTGTTCGCCCGCCTCTGCTTCTGCAAGACGGCGTTTCTATGCTCGGAACAACGCAGCCATCTTCCTCTTCTCTTGTCGCTCTTCTCTTCGATGTACTTGATGTCCCTGCCTTAAAGCCTGCTCCCTTCCCTCTAGGAGCAACAGGTGTTCGCTCTCTCCGACTTTCACCATATCGCACACCACTTGCCATCCCAGCTGCCTCCTGACTCTTCCTGACAGGCTGCGATATGGAAAATGATTTATTTCCTGACACAAAGGCAGCCGATCCTGTGGCCACACCCTGATCTTGACGAGCAGTTTTTTGCGCTCCATGATCCATCACTGGCCGAGCTGGCTGAGATGGCACTATTCCTTGTACAGGTCCTGCCAATGCGGGTGGTACAGATGGCATCCCAGGAACCCTCTGAAGCTCCACAAGATCACTTTCCACAGCACTGTTTGCACTGCTTGGTGCTTGAATCGGGTGGTGATACATGCCATCGCTGCCATTAAATGGGACGAGGAACGGCAAAGGCTGGAGATGAGGGTGGGCCTGAGGAGGATGGAAAGGTCGATAGATTGGTGGAGTGCAAATGGAGTAGTAAGGGCTAGCATTAGCCGTTGGCATCGGTCCCTGCACACAGAAAAAGCAAACACAGTCTACATTAACACGAAGTCTTGCAGCAGGCTGAAGAAAGTGCTTGGAGTGTCGTGGATTTCAATCACGCACATGAACTTGCAAACTTCATTAATGGCTCAGGCAATAAATAACTGCTCGCACCGTGCTAAATACTTTATGGAAACAAGTTCAAACAACCGAAATTTATACACCAGGTCGTCCACAACTAGCACAGTGCAGAAACGAAAGTGAAAATCATGGAGTTTTCATACCGAATGTCACAACAGCGATGAATCTGCCCAACGGTCTAACTCACACCCACACGAATCTAAGGTTGGTTCTCCCCATTGTGTCCAACGACAAAAGAACGCGCTGAGAAATGAATGCACTCAGAAAGAACAACTTTGAAATGGAAAAACCATGCCAACGGCGGCACTGTAGTAAACTTTTGCCTCCCCAACACTGTGGCAGCATACAGAACCCTACAAGATATAGAGATCAGCTTGCCAGTTCTGATGGAATAAGAGCATCGGCTGTTGGCTACAGGTTCAGGTGGACAGCAGTCAACAGCAGTGAGTCAGTGACACACTGTCCAAGAGATGGGAGAAACACTTGCCGGGAGGGCTTGGAGGCCAAATGCACTTGGCAGGTTCCCCTAGCCATCAGGAACACCCGCATCAGAAGTACACAATAGCTCATTTACTACTACGCGCTGCAGGTCAAAGAGTGGCTATGCAGGCGACGCGGTCAGCTGCAGCCAGACGAAATTCGACGACATGTGTGCAACCTGCGATGAGGGAACCCCGTAAGACCTGCATCATTGCTTGCTCTTCTGCCCAAGCGCATCGCAGCTGTCGGCCAGAGTGGAGATGCTATGTGCTTCCATAACAGACGCACCCCTGCCAGGAAACTCAGTCACACCACTTACCGGGCTACAGGAGCCCGCGCTTCGAGAGAATTGGCAGAGGACCTTCTTTCAAGGACTCCGCCCTCTCACAGTCTGGACAATATGAAAGAGAAGATGCAAGGAGACCATCGATGCCCAATCCACCCCAACGTCTGAAGCATGAGGGAGCCTCATCCAACTTGTGTGGATCGAATACCAAGCAGACTAGCACAGAAAACAATCCCACTAAAAAGCAGGAAATCATTGACAAATTCAATAACGAGCGCCTTGGGGGCAGTAGAGAAGGCAGCACACCGAGACTTCTGTGGAAGATCACGGGGGCTCAGCATGGAGGGGATCAGTCAGGAGTAACTGACCTGCTGGAGCCTGCTCGCTCGCAGGGAACAAGCGTAGACCTGGACTTAGCATGACAACGATCAACCAGGGTTTAGGGTTTAAGAATTCATGACAACATTTAGTCAGAACATAAGGCAGTTCAACAGGTAGAGGGATCCTTGGGTTTGCCCTGGCGCTCTAAGGCCTCAAGAATAGCCGACAGCTGGAGAAGCGGAGAGGAGCATAGAAGGCCACAGATAGGGGAGATGATTGAACGAATTCTGTGGCGAGCAATTGCTCGTAAACTAAACTGGGTAATTCTCCCAGGATAACCCCAGGTTGAATTGTGCGGTCCCTGGCCTCAAACTGTCTTTGAAATAGATTGATTGGCTTTAAAAAAAAAGTACCGACTGTGACTGGAGAGGGTCCAGTTTGGCAAACAGTCTTCCTAATACTACGGTGGTAGACAGAACCTTACATATATAGATACCAGCCTACCAGTTGTGGTAGAATAAGAGAATCGGGTGTGACTGGAGGGAGTTCAGTTCGGCAAACAGGAACTGAGGGGTGAGGGTGTGGAGGACGATGGCTGTGTGACTGGAGGGAGTCCAGTACACCATTGCAGCTAGGTTTGGTCTGCCTCTCATCAGCGTTAGCTGTTGACCGGTCCAACTGGCTATCCGCTGTACTCACAGTGCTTCACAACTGTTCACCGCCGGGTACTTCCTAGGAGTTGACAAAATTTCTTCTTCACTGAAGTGACAAGGAAGCTGTTCTTCGACGGGCCTTGTAATTGCGTTGTGTATGCTGCATGATGCGTCTGCAGCGCGCACTGAACACAAGAGGTGCTGTTTCCAGCTAATTAAAATTGACAGTTGCGGCGACGTTAGCTTACATTCCACGCTCAGCGCTGAAGTACGTCTCTGCATCCCTGTGCTGGGTCGTCTTTGTCACGGGTTTGGTGGAGAGAAAGGGATTCTGTATCGGTGATCAGACCATTAGTGCCGATGATGATGACTATGATGGTGATGATGAAGAGAAGCAGGAGAGAAGGAAGGTCCATGACCACTCGATTCCGTATGGTCCTAAACTGTATAGCCGGATCTGTCACTTGCAGGTGTATTTTGCACAGCAGCAGCTGTAGTGTCCCCCAGTGGCAGCATTGTCATGCAGTTGTATGCGGTCTTTAGCTACACAGTTGAATTGCTATTCCTTGGAATGTATGTGGTTGTCCACACCAGCAGTGACGTATTCCTATAAAAGCCGAGGTGAGGATAGAAAGGCAGTCGGCTACTGCCCTTGCTTGTGTTACCCAATCATCCATTGCGGGACGGTCCTGGAAACCCCAGCTTGGTTCTGTAACCTTAACATGACGAAGTTGACGGAATTACTGGCCAGCCTGCCTGAGGCCCTAAGAGCCCCCACACAAAATGGAAGTTAAGGGCTCAGGTGGTTTGGAGATGCCTTCTGCTGGGGGGGAAATTAGCGCCAGGAGTCAGAAGAGTTCAACAAGAGTCCAGATAACCTCCGGAAGAAACAGAGCAACTGAGGAGAGCTGGGAATCCCCTCTGATACCAGTCAAACTGGCTGGACCTGGAGTGGAGTAGGATGAGTATGGAATCCAAATGTTTGGATCTAATCAGGGGTGGTGCAAAGGAAAGGAAAAAATTTGGAGAAAAGAATCGAATTTATTCCAGAAAATCAAATTTATTTCCCTCTATTTCCGTTAGGAATTATGAAATCAATCATAACCTTTCTTGGCCTTTGGCTAAGGTCAAGTGTGGTATCCGTTCTGATGAGTTTAATATCTGATCCGTAGTCCATCGGGCCATTTAAAAACAAACAAACATAAAAAGAAAAAAGGAATTATGAAATCACTTTCAGCCTGGGTTGCATGCCAACCAACCGCCGACCCCGACCGCTGACCGTTTTGCAACCTACCAGTAGGGCCGAGTGGTCCATGGTCTGCCGACCAGTCAACAGACAGGCGTTCACTAATTTCTTTTAAATCTGACTTTGGGGCTGTGCTGCTCTTGCTGAGTAAGGCCCAAACCACTGAGAAATTTCTGGGGGGGGGGTAATGGGGGCATTGTCAGGGAGGTATGGGATTGTTAGGCAGTGCAGTTTGCTCTTTCTGGTCCAGTCGCCTTCAAGCGCCCGATGATGGAGGCAATCAAAATCAATCGGGCTGAGGCAGAAGGCTGTACACATGGCGCCTTTGTTTCGAACAACAGCCGGCCGAGGAGGTCTGTAATCAAAAGCGAGCTATCGAACAGCTGAAGACTGCTGTGCAAGCAGACTTGTTCTCAACCACACTTTTCATGCATGTAAACAGCAACGCAGCATACTGGCGACATACGCCCACTCAAAAATCAGATATATGGCTTTCAGATGCGAGTTCACTCTCAATTGGCTATGGCGACTTCAGCGCCCAAACATCTCACTGTTCACATACACTGGATCACCCTGAATATCCCACACGCATCACTCTAACACTCGAACACACACACACACTCACTACTAACTACAACTATGACAGCTGTCGCTGCATCTACCCTATCGCTATGCTAACTCCCACTCTCTTGCCCACTGCATCCTCCGGGCTCATCTGCAGACCTCCTTGCACAAGTCGCTGTGGCAGCGCTTCCGCATGGCTCCCGCAGGAATGAATGAATGGCTGGGTGCTGCCTCTTGATTTATACTTCAGAAATTCGTTGGTCTGCCCTTTGCCATCGGCCCTTGGTGCTCACAGTCCCCCTGTGGTACTTGCTGGACTGGACTGGGACTCTCTAGACCCTTCTGCTGACTGTAG